CCCCCCCCCCCCCCCCCCCCCAATAAATTCTCAAAGCCTTTGAATGTATGCTGCTGATTAATTGTGTAACAAAGCTATATCAGCAATTTTACAATCAAGAAATACCTATAGTTTAAGTAAATTTGCATGAAATTTAGGCCAAAAAATTTTAAGAAATTTTAAGAAGAATATATATATATATATATATATATATATATATATATATATATATATAACAATTATACCATCAGCTCGAGTTGTATGTGAGCTGATAGCTAACGAGGTGCGTAGCACTGTGTTGGCTATTAGCCATATACAACGAGAGCAAATGCTATAATTGTTTTATAATATAGTCTAATAACCATTAACTGAAGCAATAATTAATTATCCTCTGTTACAATGTCTTGACAATTTGTTCGGCCAAAAACCGCTTGGCTTTGAAAATTTGAAATACTTTTGTTTTACAACTCGAAGACAAAGTGAAAGAAATGGTTTTAGAACCGGTATATCTCACAGAAAAGCTCAGATATCTTATACAGATGTTTGGTTGTATAGTAAGTGCTTCTTGACTGCAAATTCATTTGTCTTTCATTGCAAACTTTTCTGAACAATTTATAATTATTCTCAATGAACATTTTTTTCGCTGTTGTTTCGATATTAATTCTTTAAAAAAAATTTTGGTCTTAATTCTTTAAACTAATTTCTATGTAATAAATGTATTTTGCTAACCTGTCAAACCTTTTTGAGAGTTTTTCCTTGTACTATTATTTTTCTCAAAGCGAATATTTTCCTTTTTTCGCTACTCACCGTATATGAGCTGATATGCCGCGAGTAATTCAACCAATCAGATTGCAGAACAGCTCATATACGGTGAATGACTGTATTATAAATATATATACGCTCCAATTTGAAAAATTTCTTCGTAATCCTTTATGTTTCGCGAGGTATCCTTAGCAAGCTTTAATCTATTGGCATTTACTTCTTTTTCAACTAAATAATTGTAGACCACCCCTTTTTCAGTTTCAAATTCCACTTCCACCGTGTCAGTCATTTCAGCATAACGCAACACTGTCTCTTTGTACCAACCTACATTAATATAAAAAATTATTTAGCAAACCATATCGCTATATCTAACACATGACAATGCCATAATATACCTTATGTATATACATATAGGTTTTCTTACCAGTTTTTTCCATCCCGTTTCACCAACTTCTTCTCTGGTCCATAATTTGAGCACCTTAGCACCTACCAACCTTATTGCTGCCAAATCTGCTTTCAAATTTCCATCGAGCCAAGAATATGATCTTTCTGTAGGTACTTCGTAAAGGTTAATCTCATTTTCCAAAGGGTCTAAAATTTCTTCAAGTGTGTCCATGGTTATTTTCTCTGGAATGTTAAGGAACGCTTTCGTATGTTTAACAAAAATGGAAGCACTGTCTCTCGGGCGTGATTTACTAAGGGTGGGACTTGTTGGAGTTGAATATTTTCTTCTTTTATAGATATATGTGGGATCTTCCAAGTAATGTTCTTTTTGAGAAGCAATCAAGTTCCTTGTTGCTGTTATCAAATTCTTTATCGCTTGAATTTCCTTCTGGAAAAACAAGTAACCTTTACCTGTTCTTAACATTAAAACTCTGAGAGCAAGTTCGTCCTTCGTACCACAGTCCAGTATGTTATCATATCACAGGATCTCTCGCAGTTTATACACAGACATCTTTGCAATTTCAGAAACATATGTAGGAATCATGACATTTGTCCATCGTATTTCTCGACCGGTGGCAGAACGTGTTTCTCCAATTTTTCAACTGGGCGTTTAACTAACTCATGTTTTTTTCCATCACCTGAAATTTTGTTCGCTCTGCATTTCAGTTTTAATGATGTCTTGTCTTTGTTTTTATACAGTTCATGCTGGCACCAATACTCCAGTTCTTTGTCATTCTGAAACTTTGTGTCCAACCTATCTTTAAATTCTGCGTAAAATTGTTTTACTTCATCTTCAGTGTACCAACTCAAAAATGCAATGTACAGTAACACTGTATCTATACCATGGGCAAACACCTTGTATGTCATTTCCAACACTTTTTACGGAAGAAATACACATGGAGTCCCATCAATTATTTCTGTCACCAATTTCTGAACTTTTTTCCAGTGGCATATAATGTAGCTCTCCTTCTGTGTTAAACCATCTTACATAATCAGGAACTGGTTGTTGTTGAATATCAGGGTTTATGATTGTGGTCGAATATTTATCTGCCCAGCAAGTTCTTCCTCCTCCTTCCAATTTGTTTTGTAAAATTTGGTAATCTTCTGTAGCATCCTATATAACTTTCATCCAGGTCCCATAGTGTTGTAACTTCTTTCCACAAATTATTTTTAACAGGGTAATAGCGTGTATTATCAAGGTTTTTATGGCATTCACTCTTTCCCAGGAAGGTTACCAGAGGACTTTTGTCGTTGAACACAAAATTCTCTTCAGTTCCAATTCCACGTTGGACAAAATCGGTTGCTTACCATATTGCGTTCGCGCCAAACAGTTTTGTACTTCTCCAGCCATATGTTCCATGTTTTCTCGATGATGCTGATCTTCGATGATGTAATCTTTACGTACGGCTGTGCTGGAGAAAACCTCATTTGATAAAGCACGATTCTCAACAGCATGGACTCGTTCAACCAGGTTGCGTTTGCTGTGGTACTCGGTGAATGATTTTTGAGTGACAGATTTCAGTTTCAATACTCTGGCAAGACGAACTAGCCACATTTGCACAAGTGAATTGGATGGAGCTTCTGACGGCCTGTTATCTACAATGAAAACGAAATGCTCCTTTAGCCTCCCGGTGTCAGGATTTTGAAAATGTTTGTCAAGTGCAGGGTTAACCATCAATACAAAGATTTTGCTAAAAACCCTTTGGACGGTTTCAGGCTCAAAGTGCGAAATATTGACCAGAGTGGCAGCTGCGCCAGTCCTTGTAGTGGATACATGTTGGCCTCTTTCGTTTTTAACCGCTGAATCTGTCTCCTTAAAAGATGTGTCATAGGTGTGATGGCATTTGTGTGCTAGTCCAGCCCAGTTGTGATCTGGGAGAGTTATCTTCCTCCACGTTTTCCCCGGTTTTTGAACCAGTGATATATCTGTGTGAACCTTTGCTTTTGCATCTTTTGAGTCTCATTATACTACGTGAATTTAAATGAGCATGGTCCATTGTGAGGTTTATGTTGTGAGTTGACCATTGTAGATTGACCACATATTGCTCATTTCCAATACGAGGAGGCTTGTGAAGGGATAGACACGCATTATTTCCTTTACCAGAGTGGTGTCTTTTTGCTTGATACATGCCTTCTTTAAAGTTTTGGGTATAATTAAAGCAACTCGAAAGGCTTATGTTAAAGCCTTTGGGCGCCAACGCTAAGACAGTTTCTCTTGTGTGTTTCATGATGGTATTACTATCTGCAGGACAACAAAGCACAGTGTCAATAAGTCTTGGGTGGCTCTCTAATCCACCTCCAGCCCTGTCAATTCGATCTCCTTCACCAAAACAAAATTGAAGGACTCCAGCAAGATCTGGAAATTGATCACTCTTAAGAAGTCTTCCTCTCCCTTTAAACATGTGTTGAAGCTTTTCAAGCTTCATCTTTTGAAGCATTCTGTACTTCTTTCGTCTTGCTTGTTCTCCTGTTAAAATCGGATCTGCACTCTGCTCGATGTTTCTCTTCATTTCCTCAAATAACTGCACGTTAAGGCTTACTTGATCTTGAGAACATTGGAAAAGTCTTTTGTCCTGAACATTTGCCAACTTCGACATGAAGTTAACACTGGTGATTTTTGTTAAAATCGCATTTAAAGTGTCTCTGTCTCGCTTACTGTCAAGATATTGCAAAATTATACCAAATTCGTTTCCTATCACTTCCCGAACTTTTTCGTTCATTGTACTTTGCTTCATTGCTGATATTTTGTGGATAGAGTGTAACGACCACAGCACTTCGTCCCCTGGATTTTTTAAATATAAGCTTTTCCATCGATATAGATTTGAGCAACATTTAAATGCTTACCCATTATCTCAAGTAATCTTGGAGACTCAATCCTGAGGGAAGGTTTTAATTCTTTTAATTCTTTGTAGATTTTGGTGACATCTCGAGTTGCTACAATAGGACCATTCTCAATAACGTATTTAGCTAAAGATAGCATTGCACCTAAATGTTTTTGTTGTTTTTCTGAACCTGCTTCACTTAACTTTTGGAAAAGTACATTGACGTTCTGGGAAAGATTTCCTGTCATGACTCTTTGCAGCTGATTTCCTTCTATCATAACAGGTCTAGACATTCTCTCTTCACATCTGCTCGCGTTACTACTGGCTGTAACCCCCTTTTCCTTGTACCACTTTAATCTTGGTCCCACCAGTGGAAGTACTTCTTCCGCCAGCTCCACTGCAGGCATACTTTTCGCGGTCGTATTATCTTCGTTTTTCGTACTTCTTGTCTTTTCATTTTGTTTCTCGTCTGTCACTGTAACCTCAGCTGGACCTGCTTTAAAATAAGATAATAAATTTGGGCCTGTATGCCCTGTTTCCTTTGACAATTGTGCTGGATTCGTTTCAAGTGAAACTGCTGCTGCTTTGCAATCTCGCTTTCGTTTTAAGATGGTTGGCCTGTAACGCGTATCGCTTTTGTTTGTCAATTTTCGTTGGACGGGTATCTTCTCAAAGTTGTATTTTGGCAATTTAGACTGGGATGTTTTGACCTCAACATTTGCTCTTTTTGTGGTGTTCTGGAAAGTTTAGGTGTTGTGCTGGAAGGTTTAGATGGTGTGCTGGAAGGTTTAGGTGGTGTGCTGGAAGGTTTAGGCGGTGTGCTGGAAGGTCTAGGTGGTGCGCTGGAAGGTTTAGGTGATGTCCTGGAAAGTTTAGGTGTTGTGCTGGAAAGAAACCGTTCAGGTAATTTTGCAATATGGCTGGCTTCTTTAGTAGATGAGAATTTTCTTCTGCATCTAGTTACATCCGCACAGCTTCCATCTGTGTCACGTCGTGAAATCTGTTCAATCACAGTAACAAAATTATTTGGTTTCCACAATTTTTCAAGTTGGAAACGTCGAATATTTGTCCGCATTATATAGAGAGGATCGCTTGCATCGGGTGAAGTACTTTGACTACTAAGAACTTCTCTGGGATAGAAGATACCATGCAAGGCTTTCTTTATAGCGACACTTGATGTTGTGTCTGGGTACACCGAGTGGATGGGTTTTGAAATAACAGACGCAAGAGCGAGAATATGAAATTGACTTGCATAAATGTATGGTTTAGCGGTTATTTTTGCAAGAGTGTCCATGGCACGAACAGCATTTGTTGCATTACCATTATAGACATTACAAGCTACCTGATCGCTTAAAAGTATCTTGATAATTGCTTGTACGGAATAACCAGAAATACTGGACATCATTGCAAGCTGTGGATGGGCAGCATAAAACTCGGAATAAGCAAATAATTCTGATACGGATAGAAGATGAAGAGCCACTGCTAACGACTCATCACCGGCCAATAAAATTGACACACTATTAAAAAGACAGTTTCTGTTGGCAGTTGACTGTAGTGTTAAGCAAGTGAAGTGCAAGAATCTAAATTATTCAAGTCCACCTTATCACAACCCGCACACCTGTTTACCTATATATACACAAACTTACGGTTACAGCTCAACAGCTGGCCTCTGTAGCTCAGTTGGCTAGAGCGCTGCACCAGAATCACAGGGCCGCAGGTTCACTTCCTACCAGAGGGTCTTGTGCTGCATTTTTCGCAGTCGTTCCTGGTTAGGTCTTAAAAGTATATATTCTCACTTGGATTACTAACCCTAACATCCTAATATAATTTTTAAAATCGGATGGTAGCAGAGACTTCGATATCAAGTCTAGGGGTCTCCTCAGCATTTTTGTTTCACATTGTTGTTGCTGGATCTCGCGGCTACGTTGCAAAACCAGTGGTAGAAGATTAGATAGAATCGCATACGCAGATTCTTTGCTTTTCAAATCCTTCAAAAGCTGAGATATCTCAATCTCACTTACAAAAGCCATTATGAATGATGAAAGGAATTGGATATTCAGAGGAATTGTCGTTTTATTTAATCCTATATTGTGATAAAGAATACACAGTATCAAGGAGGGTACAATAAAATGAGACTATCTTCATCACATATTATGTACTATAAATATACGAAAAAATACATATTAAAAATGGTTTATGATGCATTTCGATATTATATAGGTTTGGCTCCAACAGGTTTTTTCGCATGTACTTTTACACAAAGTTTATTGAAACAGTTAAGAATAACACTTTGATTGCGATTTTTAAACCCACTTAACCGGGATAACTTGGCAAAAATGCGATTACATGGGAATTTTCATCCCAAAGTCAACAGTTTTTAATTAATTCCTTTTTACTCGAGCTCAGCTCCAGTCATAGTTTCGGTCTGGTTTTTTTTCGCGCAAGACTCTCCCACGCAAGATTTTCCCACGCGGCCACTGTTAATTCTGACCAATCGAAACAAATCGTGGACACATGTGATTATCTTACTGGCGTTCAATGGCTCATTTGACTTCCTGCTCTTCGTGCTGGTGTTCAATGGCTTATTTAACCTAACCTGAAGTTCAGGCCCTAATTTTGAAATTAGGGCCTGAACTTCAGGTTATATGGCTTAACTTGAAGTTTAAGCCCTAATCACAGAATAAGGCCTGACACAAAATCGGTCTAAACTGTGGGATTCCCGTCCATCTGGTGGACGGGAAATCTGATTGGTTGCTCAGCATCATCAAAGATTTTGATTGGTTGCAAGTTCACATAAACAACAGTTTAAAAAATAGCTCGCTCAAGGTGACAATTAATATAAAGGTCATGCAAACGGGTTAGGTTAAAATACGGAAGTGGATGCGGAATGGATGGGGTTAAAATGCAGAACGGAACGGATATGGGGTTAAAATGCGGAACGGATATGGGGTTAAAATGCGAAACGGAACGGATGGGGTTAAAATGCAGAACGGAACGGATATGTGGTTAAAATGCGGAACGGATATGAGGTTAAAATGCGGAACGGATATGGGGAATGGAACGGATACGTAACCTGAAGTTCAGGCCCTAATTTTAAATAGGGTTTGACACAAAACCTGTCTAGACCGTGGGATGCCCACATGTTATTTTTAGACATAGTCATACAATATGATTGACAAGTGTTCTAGATTTCATTGCACAAAAAATTTATACTCTCATGAACATGTCCGCAGAGTGTGCATTTTGCTTTTTAATTAAACTTAAAAATTCAAGGTACTTTCATATAATTAAGAGTCCAGTTTCTCTATTTAACCAAACAGCAAACAAATATTTAATTAGTAATAGTAGTGTGCATGGCTTGAATGCCAAGCTTTCTCAAGGTCTCAACTTGCCGGAATCTTTAAAAAAAAAGAATGAGAAAACCAGCGAAAAATAAAAAATAGAGAAATAAAAAGCTTTATCCTTTGTCCTTGTTTAACAAAATTGATTTACATTGTTATGTTTTTCTACTGACTAAAGGCTGATTTCCACTGTTGCGTTTTTCGTACGCATATACATGCACGTAAAACTTTGAATCCTTCTATTTTTAAATATTTTACAAATAAGTTAACAAATGCATACTAAAATTTGCAGAACATTAAATTCTGTTGCTTTATTTATTTTTGTTATTTCATAAGTAACATTTAAATGGATTTAAAGTTTTACGTGCGTGCGACAGTGGAAATCAGCCTTAATTAATGATAAATTATTGTTAATAATTTTTTGTGCATTGTTTCCTTCTTTTTTTCAAATACAAGTATACTTAGCATTAGTATACTTAGAGCAAATTTAAATGCTCAGAATGCAGGAAATTAATGGCATTTCCGGGATTAAAATTTAAAAACTTTTCTGGGGGAATATGCCCCCAGACCCTGTGGCCTTCAGAAAGGTCCCTTTTCAAAAAATGCCCCCCCCCCCTGCCACTAGAAAATCCTTAAAAGAGCCCTGACCAGTGTACAAAATAAAACTATAAAATGTCTGTTTACATATCAAATTTATACTTCTGACAATACCACATGGCACATGTTGTATATATATATATATATATATATATATATATATATATATATATATATATATATATATATATATATATCAATTTGGATAACACTAGCTATTAAGCTATCAACATGGATAACACTAGCTATTAAGATAGATAGATAGATAGATAGATAGATAGATAGATAGATAGATAGATAGATAGATAGATAGATAGATAGAAAAACTTTATTTAATCACGCTAACCACGTCAACCGAAGCTGATTTCCACGAGGGGCGTGCGAAAAAGTATACAGAAAATAATTTTAAAAACTATTTACAAAATTATATAAGATATATAGTATTATATGAAGTAACAAAATTAACTATAAGTAATAATCTATTTACAGGTATATAGACTTATATATTTTCAATTAGGTATCAATCTAAGTAATAATTTTAATTCATCAATGTGAGTAGCGATTTTCTTTCGAAAGGAAGAAAAGGATTTGCTCTCTCTAATTTCTTTAGGAATAGACGCGGTTGTGGTAAAGAAAGACTACTTGAAATGTTCCGAAGTTTGTAGTTTGTCACCTCACTTTTATTTGTGAAGAGATTAGTGAGTGATTTCGGTCCCATTTTGTTCAATAATTTGTACATGATTTTTGCTTTACTTTTCTTCCTTTCTGTTTTAATTAAGTGGCTTCCAACCCAATACTTGCAATGCAACAGAATGATCTATGTCATTGCTCATATTCATAATAATCCGAGCAGCTCTGTTTTGTAGTTGTTGGAGTCTTTTTGATTGTGTTTCTCCAAACACATCCCATACTTCACAGCAGTAATCAAAATATGGGCGAACGATGGCTTGTATACAGAAAGAAGTGTTTGCTTATCAGCAAATTCTTTTAAACGTCTAAGAGCTGATATTCCGGATGTTAGTTTCTTGCAAATATTCTTAGTGTTAGTTCTCCAAGATAAATGCTGGTCAATTGTCACTCCAAGAGTTTTGGTTTCATAAACTTGTTTAATTGACTTGTTTTCAATTTTCACATTGAGTTGCAAATTTGAAATATTTTTAATCATTTGCTTTGAACCAATTGACATAAACTCAGTCTTAGCAACATTTAGACTAAGTTTATTGGCAATTAGCCATTTCCTAAGTTTTTCCAAATCAGAATTCACTGCAGTTTCAAGATCAGTAATAGAAAAAGTTAGTGTCGTCAGCAAACAACCGAGGTTTTGTTTTTTCCAGGCATTGAGGCAAATCGTTAATATATAATAGAAAGAATAGTGGCCCTAAAATAGAGCCTTGTGGTACGCCAACATTTGATCAATTTCTCTGATGAAAATGACCCTTGTATTTGGCATTTTTGGTTTCTATTTGAGAGATACGATTCTAGAAAAGATAGAGCTTGCCTTTTTATTCCATAGAGCTCTAATTTTGTCAATAATATTTGATGATCCACAGTATCAAATGCTTTTTTCAAGTCAATTAAGACTACTTGGTTAAACATTTTTTGGTCTAAATTCATATACCAATCATTTGTACAGTCCAGTAATGCTGTAGCTGTAGAGTGAAATTTACGAAAACCGAATTGAGAATTTGGTTAAATAATTGTATAGTTGATCATATAGAATTCGCTCCATAATTTTGCTAATGACAGGCAAAACTGAAATTGGTCTGTATTTTCCTGGCAGGTTTTGTTGGCCGTTTTTATGGAGAGGTATTACTCTAGCCGTTTTCCATTCATGGGGGAAAAGGGATAGGGTAATAGCCTGATTGAAAATGTATGCGAGTGAATCTGAAATAGTAGGTGCAGCTATTTTAATAATTTTACTAGATATCTTATCAACACCAGTGGCTTTGTTGCTAGAAAGACCATGCAAGAGATGGTAGACATTACTGACAGTGACTGGCTGGAATGCACTGAATTCTGATTTAGCCTTTTCAACATATGTTTGAAAGTTCAAATTTGGAGTGTCAATTTTGCTAGCTAGATCAGGGCCAATATTTGAAAAATAATCATTAAAGCCCTCTGCAATATCTTTGGTATTTGTCAAACGTTTTTCACCTAACTTTAACTCATTTACTACTGTTGGTTTGCTTTGCCTACCTAGTATATTGTTTATAGTTTTCCAAGCCTCTTTAGGATTGCATTTTTGACCAGAAATTTTAGTGGAGTAATAATCGTTTTTAGCATTTCTTAGCCGAATATTAACTTTGTTTCTCGTTGTTTTGTAATTTAACCAGTCTATCTCTAGGTTTGTAATAATGGTCTTTCTTTTAAATCTGTCCCTTGTAATTATAAGTTGCTTTATAGCACTTGTAATCCAAGGAACTTTTTTTGTTCTAATCTTTTTATGTTGAAGTGGTGCATGGTTATC